TGTTGTGTCTTCCTTTTTGTTAGATGTTTTTGTATTTATGTATCCTAGAATTCTGAAATAATAATGAAGTAAAAAGTAATTAAACAAAATTGAACCGTAAAGCAACTGTTTCAAGCCACTATTGTTTGTAATTAATCCATTCTTGTACTTTCTTATAAACATTCAACACAACCACCGTTTCTATCTCCAGAACATAACCGAACAAAAACAAATTAATGAAGCCCTATGGATAACGGTGACCAGAGAGGTAAAAAGCACGGAAAGGACAGTCTGTGTAACATTATTTTAGGGACTTTAGTGAGTTTTTAGGCCAGCAGTGGTGTGTGGTTATCCTTACCTAGATTCGTGTCATTTGACAGGTCGCTGTTTAGGATTAGAACATAGACGACAGAAGCCAGCGTGTAGTGCGACCTTTAGAGGCGTCTAGTTATATTAGCTCTATTGTATAGATGTTAGTTTAGAACAGAGTTGTTAAAGAAATATGTTTTGTACTGATTATTATATTCTATATTATTGTTTTTACTATTTCGAAAACTGTCCTGGAATGTCTATTCGCAACATTTCAAAACAGTTTCCGACAAAAAAATATTACTAAAACCAGCTTTGATATCTGAATAATTAAACTAAAAAAGTAGAATCTATATTTGTATATTAATTAATTATAGCTAGTTTTTTTGTATCTAAAAAGCAAAATATAGCAAAAATAGAGAAAAATCTGACATTTGTATGTACGTATATTATCTAATAATTACTTTATATTAATTTTAGGAAAGAGTTGCAAATCTACTGGGGGTGGCAGGAACTGATGTCCCAATTGAGTACATTCAAAGACTGATGCTACCTTACCGGGTATGTAAAAACAATGCTGTGTAATATTTTAATAATAAATAGTACTTATGTTTCAGTTGGGTGTAAATGGTTATGGATTTATTGTATCCAATAATGGATACATTCTGATACATCCTGATTTAAGGCCAGTGGTAAGCAATAGTTTAAGAAATAAATAATTGAAACCAAGGCGGTACATACACGCTAGGCGTACGACAAGGTGTACAGGGTGGGTCAAATTCGACGCTTTTAGACAAAAACTAATATCGGTGTCTGGAGCTCAATTTTTGTCAAAAACATGATGGTGAAAACCACATATCGATATCTGTTATCGTTTCGGAGTTACGGGGTGTTTTTCAAAAATATGCATTTTTAACAAATCGGTGTAACTTTTTTGCTATGGAAAATTTTGTATTTTTATGAAAACATTTCCAAAGTTACTTTTTACGTAGAATTTAATGGTTAAAGTATAATTTTTTTAAAATTAACAATTTAAGAATTATCAACAGAAAATTTGATTTTTTATATGGGACACCCTATATATTTTTAATTAATTGAAAAGAATTTAAAATTATCTTTCCAAAAATATAACACACTTGATATTTTGCTCGATTCCTCTTCGAGATATAGAGTATATAAAAATTCGCCCGCTTTAAATAAGTAGGCTTTTGAACGGCACCGGCTTAATGCAAAAAAATTCTAGCTGTGAGAATCAATAAAAACGAAAAAAATATTTGCTATGAAAGATGCAATTTTATAACAATTTAAAATATATTTAACCAACTTCAACACATTTAAACTATATCTAATAACAACAAAAATAAATAGCAAACTAAGATATGAGATTTTGCTACAAGTGTTCGACATATCGACCATCTTCTGTTATGGACAAACGGGGCAGTTTTTGAACATTTCTCGCGGAATTCATTAACTCAGACGTGGTGAAAGATACCCTCTCATAACTGCTAAGTATTTCTAATCCTTGTCTAGATTATACGGAAGAATAAGGAACCTTTATTCTTCCGCAAATATATCCATAGGATTAGATCCATGGGCACCAAGTCAGGCGGCCTCGACGGCCAACGGCTGGGATCTTGGCCAACGGCTTGGATCTATTCAAATGTTCTTGAAATTGGCTGCAAAAATTTGCTAATAACTTCAGCGTTCAGAGGCGGTGCGCCGTCTTGCTGGAAAATTATGTTTTCGAGTTCCATTAAGGGAATATCATCAATAAGGGGTCCAAAGCCTACTAGTTAAAAGTGGCGAACTTTTAAAAATTCTGTATTTCGAAGGGGATTATAACAAAATATCAAGTGTGCTATATTTTTGGAAAGGTAATTTTAATTCTTTTCAGTTAATTAAAAATATAGAGGGTGTCCCAAATAAAAAATTAATTTTTCTGTTGATAACTCTTAAATTATTAATTTTAAAAATATTATACTTAAACCATTAAATTCTACGTAAAAAGGTGCTTTGGAAATGTTTTCATAAAAATACAAAATTTTCCATAGCAAAAAAGTTACAGCGATTTTTTAAAAATGCATATTTTTGAAAAACACCCCGTAACTCCGAAACGGTAACAGATATCGATATGCGGTTTTCACCATCATGTTTTGACAAGTGAGCTCCAGACACCCATATTAGTTTTTGTCTATCTCCTATAGAAAGTGTTTTCATTTAAAAGCGTCGAATTTGACCCACCCTGTACAGTATAGACTGGTTCAACACTTCAATGCTTGTTGCTATTTTAGTTCAAAATAAAGTATACTTTCATAATTTTTGGATAGATCTGTCGAAATCAGCACTGTCGTTGAACCAATCTTTATAATGTTAAAAAATCCACACTGTACAACTTGTCGACTGGGTCCTTTATATATGACAGTTTTAGTGTCTTCTTATTATTTAATAACGTTTTTAGTACCAGGGATATTGAAGCCTGCTTTACAATAGGGTAGATATGATGGAAGTTGAAGTAATTGATGATGATACTGAACCAAGAAAATTTAACGATGACAGAACTAAGATACAAAGTTATCATGCAGAAAAGAGGGAAACGCTACTATATGAGAGTGAAAAGCCATCTGGATGATATGGTAAGATCTTATTACGAAAATATAGAATAAAATTTCACAATCCCATTGTTACTTTTCCTGTTCTACAAGTTTATATTATTAGATTTTCAATTTGACGTTTTATTTTTTAGAAACCATCATCAACATTATTTTTTTTTAAGTACGGACCTGGATTTTTAAAACCTTGTGGCCCTGAAATACAATGATATATGTACAGGGTTGTTCACCACATACGACACGGAGTATTGTAGCTAAACGATTAGATTTTTACAAATTGTAAGTCTTGGGTTCGTTGAAGGACTATTAGAGCTACAATTTAAAAATAATTTTACAAGATACAGAGTGTCCTAAATAAGTAAAAAATATTATAGTTGTATTTTTTTAAATGGAACACCCTGTATATTATTCTATTTTTAGATTCTACGACTGAAATAAAGGTAAATTTGATTAAGTTTTATCGCACTTAAACCTTACCGTTTATGAAATATTTTCAATTTTGTGAAATTGCAGTAAAAAATTTAAGGCTCTATTTCTCCAAGGGTATTAAAGGGTTTAATACTAAATATTTACTGAAGATTATTTATTGATCAGGTATTATGTTGCAATAATAAAAATTATACTACCTTATATAGAGTGTTCAAAAAATTATATTAAATAATTTATTAAATAAAAATAATTATATTAAATTAATCGCTTTCAACAACAATAACTTGTTTAATTTAAATGGAACACCCTGTATATTTTACGTGAATCAGATGCACAAGATAATTGTCTATCAAATTGGATTATACCATTTTTTACCTAGTTCTTCAAGTTTTCGTAGAAAATGCATTTTCTTATTATTTAGACCTCATTTATCACTATATCCATGGAATATTGACATTTTAGATTTTTTTAAGACAACATATGTACAAAATATACAGATGGTAAAAATAATAATATTGCAAGCCCATTTGTTTATAAAAAGAAAGCTATTTAAATCTTTGTAAAAGAGTATTCCAATTATTACTAATTATTAATATAGACCGCCTATTATTTCCACCTAACAATTAGTTAATTACATACTTAATTGTTTTAATTAATAAATGTGGCTCAGAAATCAATACAATAATAAGTTATGAAAATGAACGTCTCTGTTATTATAAATAAGCATTCGTCAAAGTATGAAATAAAATATATAAGGTGTTACTTTTTACCACACTGTCTAATACACATACAAAATTCAGTTTTTTAGTATTTGGAGCAATTATTATTAATCAACGTAAACAGCTAATTAAAGTAGTTTAAATACTGGGATCATATTAATTGGTGCTATTTAACAAATATTTAAACAGTTTTTCTTATTTTTTTAATGACATAAGCGAATTATATCGTCAATATTAGTATCTGGAAATCTGAAAATTTGTTACATTTTTAAAAATAATCTAAAATGTCAATATTCCATGGGTATAGTGATAAATGAGGTCTAATTTATAAGAAAATGCTACTTCTACGAAAACTTGAAGGGGTAGATAAAAAATGGTATAATACAATTTCGTAGACAATTAAATTGTGCATCTGATTCTCGTAAAATATACAGGGTGTTCCATTTAAATTAAACAAGTTATTGCCGTTTAAAGCTAGTAATTATTTAATATAAATTTTTAGACACCCTATATAAAGTAGTATTTTGTTTATTATTGCAACACAATATCCGATCAATAAATAAACTTCAGTAATTATTTAGTATTAAAAAGTTCGATACCCTTGGAGAAATGAATCCTTAAAATTTTTACTGTAATTTCATAAAATTCAAAAATATTTTAAAAACGGTAAGGTTTAAGTGTGATAAACCTTAATCAAATTTACCTTTATTTTAATCGTAGAATCAAAAAATATAATAATATACAGGGTGTTCCATTTAAAAAAATACAACTATAATATTTTTTACTTATTTGGGACACTCTGTATCTTGTAAAAATATTTTCAAATTGTAGCTCTAATAGTCCTTCAACGAACTTACAATTTGCTAAAATCTAATCGTTTAGCTACAACACTCCGTGTCGTATGTGGTGAACAACCCTATATATTATACTTACCCAAAATAT